AAGATGCGGTGCTGGGGCAAACGTGATGAAGAACTGACTGCCATTGGTATGAGGACCCTTGTTCGCCATGCTGACAATACCTCGTGCGTTATGCCTGAGGGCCGGACGAATCTCATCTTCGAAAAGCTGGTTCGGCGTCTCGTAGATCGAGGTCGAAGATTTCGATTTGGGATCCGATGCCGGACTGCCCGTCTGCACCATGAAGTTTGGAATCAACCTATGGAACGGGCTGGCATTGTAGAAGTCAGAGGCACATAGGGCAAGGAAGTTCTCAGCAGTCTTGGGTACCGATTCGCAGAAGACTTCGATCTTGAGGTCACCACGCGAGGTGTGAAGCTGTCACGTTGATTAGTATAGTGTGGAGAGAGGTGAGCAGCGCCCACGTCAATGGGACGCGCCGTGCATATGCAGTCAGAAGTAAGTGGCATTCTGGAAGCCCAGATGCGGAGTTGGTGATGGCCGGGTTTCGGGGAATTGGTGAGCTCGGGCAGTGAGGTAATCGATGATAGATATTTGCTCCAAGCAGAAAAATTGGCAGAAGAGTGTACACAGGAGATACAGAACTTACGGTGACGGACATGGTGCGAGGCTGTCAGCGCGTGGCACATTATCCAAAGGGCGATATATGTAGCAAATCCTGTGCTGTGATGGTGGTGGCTTTGTCTGACCGAGGATTTTGACGCTGCTCAGCTTCATTCAGCCCCCATGTTCGCTTCCAACAGCGTGCCTCCACCTCTTCCTCTTCCCAGCACCACGGGCGAGCCTCACTACGTCCGCTCCCGCCGCCTACCTCTTCGCTCGCATCAACACCTGTCTACGCCAGCCACACTATCTCTTCACGGCCATTGTTCCAGGCAATTATCCCGTCGCAAGGCCGCCTTAATTCGCGGAGGTTAGATATCCATTAACAGAGCCCATTCTCGACCTATCATACACGAGAGCTAAGACCACCGCTCCGACCCACAACAGCCCTACGACGACATTCACCCTTCACACTCCATCAACCGCATTATCTCTCCACCATACCCCAGACCCGTCGCTCCCTCGACCGCCTGCTTGTGCGACCAGTTCCACTCAAGCCCGTGCCCCGCCAGTTCAAGCATTCCTGCGACCTGCACCTCAACCCCACTGTCCCGCAACCAGAAGGCTACGCACCACCCTCGACCACCGCCCAGCGCAACATTCTGGGGCACATAGAGCGCGAGCTGGGAGGGGGAATAGCACAGGAGGAGGCCAAATCAACTCCCATGCGGCTCATTCTGCGGTTCCAGGCCAGCGCCGACGAACTCGCCAACGTGAGATACCATGTCGGCCTTTGTGCGGGTCTCTGGACCGCCGAACAGTAACTTTTTGGTTGGATATCCAGGTATATCGGCGACGCTGGTATGTATCTTCTCATCGTTCCCTTCCTCTGTCTTTTAGGGGCTGCGCAGGATCTATAGAAGTCTTGGGGGAGTTATATGACGAATCCTTTACTCGCATTGACATGCATCCGCTAACGACTCAGCAGCCCCGAATAGAAGGCAAAGTCGAAATCCGACCGCTGGTGGGAGTATCAGCACCCGTACTTGTCTCTCTCGTCACCATTGCTCTCCAGCGGCGCGAGACAATTCACCCCTCCGCCGACTCGGTCACCAAAAAGCACCTCGCAGCGCCCCGCAAGGAAATCACTGATGTCGTCGGCAAAGAGATGCTCCTATTCCGGTGTCCGGCTGGAAAGGAATACGAGAGTGTGCTGTCCATGGACCTACCCTTCGTAATATTCATACCGTACGGCCGCGGCGGCGAGGAGGTGGCGAGAAGGGTACCGCCTGCGAGCTTATCGTTACCGAGTCGTACAGCTGAGACTTACTATGAGCTAGTCGTGACGGTGCAGCAGGGGCATACGGATCAGAAGAAGTACCCGTTCCCCGTCCCAATCTCCAGATACGATACCCTATCTACTTTTGGCATGTATAACCGACCTGAGAGTGCTGAGCGAGTTACCGATCATCTGGTCACGTTGGGGATATCGTTACCGAGGTGGAGTTATGGCCCCCTAGATCCTGTGTCCGTGTATATCAAGCTGAGCCCGAATCCGGATTGGTTGTCCAAAGCCAGGAAGGTTACCATTCAAAAGATCACTGTCGGTATAGATGAGGAGATTATTTTTAATCATGAAGGGGACGAACCGACAAGAAAAGTCAAGACGCTAGCAAAGACGACGCAGGCTGTCGGTGTCAAGATGCCCGAAGCGGGATACTTTACGAATCTAGGGTTGGTGTTTCCAGCCAAGGATCTACGAGATTCAGATGGCATTATTCCAAGGGGAAAGAAGGAGTTTCCGATGTATGCAGTCGGTGGCTTCACAACGACGGGCACACTATATAAGATTGAGTACTATCTTACTGTTAAGGTAGGCCCTTTTACTTGATCGCGGCTACAATGACTAATGTTTCGATTAGGCACAAATGTCATCAGCAAAAGACATTCTCCTCCGCCAGCCCATAGTCGTCTGTCCCTTTGATCATGCTGGCTGCAAGGAGGAAATGGAAGCCATCGAACAGGCTGCCAAAGACGCCGCCCACGTCTCCCCAGACAACCCGTTTTTGCCCGCCAGCACCATCATCAGATCAAACGAGCATAATGGACTCAAAGCGTTAGGCATGGCCATTGTAGGAGGGGTACGAAAGCCGCTCATAGAGTGAGGGCCTGTTTCTTGCTGGGGGATTACAATTGTCATCATTTGCGTACGTCGCGGTCGGATGGACCGCTATTTGAAAGAAGTTTGGGGTGATCTTGCAAGCATTGCAGAAGCATTGAAGCATTAGCATGGCGGGGAGGTCTGGCATTATCGATGTCATCTGAAGAGGAACATGAAAGGTCTACCTGCCGGGACCTTTCTCCATCCATCCGTTGCTTCTACCTGAGGCGACGGCATACGAGGATATCAGCAAACAATACCAGGCGTTCGGGGTATTGGGAGCTGGGTGCTAGATGCAGGTTCGGTCGGCAAATTATACCACTGGAATCAAAGCACTGGAGCTACGGAGTAGGGAATCTTTGGGAAGCACTTCTTTGGAGGTAAATTCTTTGGGGAAAACTCTTTTGGGTTGTGTGTCATGAATAATGCATTTCCGGGAGTTATTCACTTTTGAGTAATGCTCGGGATATCTTGGGTCTTTTCAGATACGTTTCTTCAGACATTCTTTTTTTTATTTTTTTTATTGATAATCCGTTTTGGGGTGGGTGTCTGCTGGACTTTGCGCTGGGTCGCGCTCGGACTCGGATGGTTTGGAGTGGAGGTGCACCGGTGTGCATAGTGTAGGGGCAATGCAGCTCCGTTGGGGAGATGTGTTTATATACCTGGACATTGCGTTGAGTAGTCGTGTCTGGAGGAGGGCATGGTGGATAGAAGTATCCATCCTTGAATCATCCCTTTTGGTGTCTGATGTGCTGAGCATCTCTTCTCTTACAGCGTCATCAACGTTGTCGTCTTCTTTACCAACATCGCAGCCCGGCGTCCCAAATTGGATGCTCAAACCTCAATATTCAACTCGCGTTCTCCAAAGTCAGTTTTCAACTGACAGCCCTCATCCACAACCCTCACTCACAACCTTCTACTCACAACCTTCTACTCACAACCTTCTACTCACAACCTTCTACTCACAACCTTCTACTCACAACCTTCTACTCACAACCTTCTACTCACAACCTACCACCTACATCACACGTCCTAAAACCACCTTCCCTCAACCTGAACTCTCAATTCAACTCCCAACCCTTGACATCAATCTTCACCGGTCAAACCCAATCCCAACCGCCACTTCCTCTAAAATCGACAACTCTACCTCCCCCTCGGTCTAAAAGCTAAATTCACAACCATGCCCTTCGTCTGAATCTCACTTCCAGCTTTCTTCCCCTCTTCCAACTTCTCTTTTAGCGCCAACTTAGCCACATGCTCATCAACCATGCCCTTCGTCTGAATCTCACTTCCAGCTTTCTTCCCCTCTTCCAACTTCTCTTTTAGCGCCAACTTAGCCACATGCTCATCAACCATGCCCTTCGTCTGAATCTCACTTCCAGCTTTCTTCCCCTCTTCCAACTTCTCTTTTAGCGCCAACTTAGCCACATGCTCATCAACCATGCCCTTGATGCTCCGATACTGCGGGCTTTCGGGACCGAAGGTGTGGAGCGTGTTGCGGAGGGAGGACTGGAGCTGTCGAGAGGGTCAGAGGGGATTTGAGACATGCTATTCTGTGTTGATTGAATATGGTGGCCAGGTGGTTAAGGCGCTGTGTTTGGGCTGCTTGTTGTGCTTGGGATGAGTTGCTTGGGCTAAACAAGGTGTGAAGAGAAGAGTGGAAGGGTAGAGTTGTATTGTGAAGCGTAGGAAGGAGAAAGGGGTATTACAGAAGAAGGGAAGTGGACGTACGGAGAGGAGAAGATCATCTGATTGGTCTGGCATCTCGTACAAAGAGAATCGGTTGATGATGTTGGTTTGTGGGGTGTTCTTTCCCAATCCGCCGAGCGCTCAGTGCGAGAAGATACCTGGGCAAGTCCTTGTGAAATTGAGAGCCTCGAAATTCCTGAAACTAGAATCTGACACTTTTCAAGTTATTATCTTCGTCCACGGATAGCCCAGTGATTCGCTTAGAGAGCACAAGGAGCCGTAATGAATGTGAGGGAGAAGATCTGATATTTGGAATTGTACTGACACGTCAATCAGCAAAATTTATTTATTTTCAGTAGATAAAATGAGATTTAGGCATCTAAAATACCTTTCTAATTAGTTTAACCCGTTATTCCTAACGTCTAGCTTTATACTTGTTCAGTGTTCCTTCTCACTCGGCATCCATCGGGGAGTCATGCTTCGGCTATCCACCCACTCACCGCCTCCCACATTGCCAAAAAAAAAAATTGGAGGAGGCCTAGAATCTCTCCATGCATACAAAAGACAAAAAAAGAAAGCTCTGACAAGGGTGGGATTCGAACCCTTTTACAAGTTAGTATTGGTCATTCAACAAGTAGGATTAGATCATACCACGCGGTTGCCCACTGCGGACATTTAAGCTATATAAGCAGCCTAAACACAGCGCCTTAACCACTCGGCCACCTTGCCGGATATGAATTTAACGTGTTTTTTGGCGTTAAGTAAAATATATGTTGGATTTAATAACTGAGATCTTCTGACGGAAGCGATGCGGATAGCCGAGGGATCATCGATAAGGTTAATTAAGCGATGATTAGCGTGTTGCTAGTTCGACTTACCACGTGCACCATGTGCGGTACGAATTTACCACTTGGACAGACCACTTCATCGTTAACCATTTATGACCAACCCTCGGGTAGCATGTCTATCTGCACATTCCCACTTATATCTGGGAGCCGCTAATACGAGAACACTGTCTCTGCCGTTACGGCACGACCTATCTTCACTCCTTCAACAACCTGTAATGCTTTTAACATGGATCGATCACCAACATCTTGGGGCCATATCCTCCCGACGAAATCCTTCCATTCGATGACCTTTTTTCATGCCCTACCATAATTCTCTTCAGAGCAAGAACAACCGAATACCTAGTCTCGATTTTTAGGTTAATGTTGATATTTGACCTACTGAACCTAAATTTTTAGGTTAACTGCTATTCGTTTCGTCGTGTCCTGTTGCGATAGGGGTGTCCCACCGTTACTCGAACCGGTTCGGGTCCGATCGGCCTGTCAATCGTACCTCCCGCTCAATTCTAGCTCTAGTGGGACATACAGGGTTCGCATACTAGAGACTACATCTTGGACTTGAACTCACGCCAGACCCTACATTTCCAGTTGAGTCAGATATCCTTCTATTTAGTTACCTATACCTGGCTCTACAAAGCTTTCTGTAGCCATAAACACCAGCAGCGTAGACCCAGGATGAGGCCGTTGGAGATGATACAGCTTCAAGAGTCCCTGCAGAAGCATGTCCCACTGGAGGTGAAATGAGGCGGTTCGATTGAATCAAAGGTACCGAACATATCTCCTTAGAGTCACAGAAAATCACTCGTACAGTCCAATTCAATAATCCTAGAGAGTGACATGCCATCGGAGCCTTATGATACCGTGTGGAAAGGGTGCCACAACGCCCGCAACCTCCCCATATCCACAAGATTGCTCATCTCTGAACGAGCCAGCTCAATATATCACATGAACCATGACCAAACTCACGCCTCATATATCTAACTTCGAGGAACTAAATTGGAGAAAAAGCTACCTATGCTTCCCCCCTTGCCTCAATGCAACCAAAGGACACTGAACTGCCGGATAAGGTTTGAACGATAAGGTGGAATTTGGAGGGGGATTACGTGAGGGGTAGGTTGCTAAAGTACGGAGTAAGAGACTATCAAACTATTTATGAATCAGTCAGAAGATCATTAGCTAGAACGTATTCACACATCAACACTCCAAATGTCAAGAATCCCAAATTAATTAACTCACTACCCAGGAGCCCATGCCCAGAGAATCCTAAGGGGAAGAAAAGAGTTCATAAGACTTATCGTGCACTATACAAATTTTTCGATTTTCCGGGTGAGGGGTGAACAGGAGTTTGGGTATTTCATTACCACACTTGCTCTTCGACCATGATACTGAGTAATATATCCGCGCTTCCCGCTTTTGTATGCCCAGCCTAAGATATGCACAATCTACAACCACGAGCCGAACATCCACACACCCACCGAATATATGTTGATTTAGCACTTGAGGGCGAACTTGGCCTTGCGGTCGGCAGTCATAGCACCCCAGGTCGTCTCGTCAGCCTTCTTGCCGTTGTCACCGATGGAGGCTGGCTTCCCTGGCTCGTCGAAGGCTTCGAAGTAGAAAGCGTTGAAGCCCCAATCGAGTAGGGCGCAGAAGCCGTTCTTCCAGAATTCTTCAGCATTCTCGAGGCCACCCTTGGCGTCACCGTAGTCGGTGCCATCTATCACACATATTAGTCATTTCCGGACTTGACTAATTGTAAGGAGTATGTAACATACCAGCAGTGGGCCAGCCAGTCTCGCCGTTCCAGATCTCAGGCGTCTTGTCGGGGCCACCAGCAATAGTCTCAATGTGGCCAACAGCCTGGAACATGTCGTCGAGGTAGACGTGGGTCGCATTGTCCTGACCAGCACCCTGCCAGAAAGCAAATGCGTTAATCAGGATGATATCAACCGTGCCAATGATGGGGTCGGCCGTTCCATCAGCAAACTTGTTCCAGCTGTCGGCAGTTCCGACCTTGATACCCTTGGGAAGCTGGTCCTTGACAGTCTTGATCTTGTCCTTGAGCTCGTCGCCGGTGAAGTTACCGCGGTAGAGAGTCTCGGAGCCGACGGTCACGGCGTAAATCTGCTCGGTATATTGTTTGGCAACGCTGGTGATAGCATTGGTGTCGTTGGCGAAGGACTCGTCGTAATCGGCCCTGGAAAGGAGAATCAATTAGCCCTTGCACAGGCAAGGGACGAGGGTTAGGTTTACATACCAGATGCCCAACATAACCTTGAAACCCTTCTCCGCAGCAGCTGGGAGAACGTTCTTTGTAAAGTTGCAGTCGCTTGCGGCATATCCTCGCACCATCTTAGCTCCTGAAGCTTCAGAAATGGCTTTGAAGTCCTCTTCGTAGTCTTTCTGGGTCTTGCACTCTCCTCCGGGTAATTTCGTGCCCAAGGCGAAGCCCATGGTGCCGGCGGCAGACACCACGGCGGGTGTCACAGCGAGGGCAGACGCTGCGATGGTTGGGAAACGCATGCTGAAGTATGCTCGAGTCAATAAAAGTACGCGATTAAGAGTCGGGCTAGGATAAGAGACTGCGTTAATTCAGTGAGTGTGGTGTAAACAGGGATGAACGAGTGACAGCAAGAATGAAAGGATAAACGAAGGTTGGGAGAAAGGAGTGACTGTACAATCGTACACAATTGACGTGGAGTGAAAGAGAGAGCGGGTGCTGTTGGCGAGAGATGAGGAAGGAGAGGCCATGCAGGAACACGTTCCGACCAGCCAATCATCGCGAGCTGGCTCTCAGGGGCGCCGCCTATTTAAGGAGTCCGTCAAACATCACGTGTATATCTCCGTTCAAACATTCCAGCATATAATATTTGAGACCGAACAACGCAGATAGGTAAGGGAAATGAGGTAACATCCGTGAATGAGATTGCCACGTGATTTCAGATTCGTTCAATCTTCGTAATGTAAACTCCTGCCAAATGCGAAACCAAAACTCCTACCGGTCCTCTGCCGGACAGGACCTTAACATCCCGAAAGACACCAAACGCCTTATGTAGTCCAGACTATGCACAATCCTGCTAGCAATTGTCGTTTCCTAGGATTTTGACAGCCTAAAAGGATGCGCCTCCGTATTCAGTACAAATTCATCCAGACTAATGAGATCCGGATCCGTAAAAACGAGATAGAAGTACTTCAGCGTCTCTGCCAGCCAGAAACTCTCCATATAATCTTCCTGCTTCGAATCCACGATAGTAACGTCTAACACAGCTGCATTAGCGAAGCTCGTGTCCGTCGCGTTGGCCACCGCTTGGAACATATCCCATGCCGCTTCTCTAAACTCTTCTTGCCCTGTGATTCTCCACAACACAAAGACACTCTCAATCGCCTCGGGCCTTAAAATATACCTGGGATCCTTTGCAGTAGTAAAGCCCTTGGGTAAATGCTCTTTCCACTCCTTACGCTTCTGACGTTCTGACACCCACCGTTCTTCATCCCACTTGCAGTTTTCGGCAGAAGGGCAAAGAACCATGTTGTACCGCTCGGGCATGATGCCGGCCGGGAAGGACTTGTAGGCGTACATGCAACCTCGAGCAAGCTTTACGCCTGTTTTAAGATAGCTGTCGTTCTCGAAGAGGCGGCCGCCTAGGGCGTACAGGCCCCCAATGAAACACGATAGATGTTCGCTTTCTGGGTCCAAACTAGGAGTAAGTTCGCCTTCGCCACTCTCAAGGACATCGCAGTTGCCGGAGATGAGGATATCCTCGTTCCCAGGGATCATGGGTCGGAAGAATAAGTTCTTCATCGCAGTGTCCATGAAGTTGCGTGCCATAGCTTCGTACTTGGCGGAAGAAGGAGACGTAGATCCAAGGAGTGCGTGGGCTTTGGGGAGGTATTCATACAGCGAATCTGCATTGCCGCCAATAGTGAACTGATAGCCAGTAACAACGTCCTGCCTTCGCATCGACACATACATGGGCCACATACCAGGCAGCTTTGTTTCATTCTGGTGGTCATAGAAAGTATCCATGACCTTCGACACAGCCGCATAGTATTTCGAGTCTCCCGTAATCTGCGACAATCGTGTGAACTCCAAAGTAATTGTGCCCGGCGATGCAGAAACGACGGTATCTTCCACATAGAGCCCCCCTCCCTTCTTGGCGTCTTCAAACTCGATGAAATCGACCGGCATGCGATTTTCGGTGTTGAACCCGGAGTATAAAAGATCCCCTACTTCGATAGCTTTCACTTTGAGAGCTTCATGTCCACTAAGGTCGTATGCAGCTAACAGTCCACCTAGATACCGGATGCAAGTCTCAAACGTGTTCACTCTACTAGACGTCGACTTGCCGAAATCGATTGATGCTACAGCTTCCACTGCCTCGTAGAACTCTTTCCGCATACCCATTATCCAAAGCGTATCCAGCGAATCCACAAGCGTGGCAGCCCAGCCAGAGAATTGGTCGACAAATTGTCCAGACAGCGGCTTCAGCGCATCCTTCATCCATGCCTGCTTTTTGTAACTTGCCCAACTCTTTCCAAACACCCTCCTAATTTCTAGCCTCCTTTTGTCCTGAATAGCTGCAACGCTTGCTGATTCGGGCTTGAAAATGTGCTGTATGCGAGGACGCTTCGGCGCCGGGGGAGGTAGTTTGGGCGTGAGCTCCGGCGGGTACATGAACTTGACCGTGTTCCATGCGAATGAGCTTTTGCTTGCGACGATATGTGGTATCTTGCTAGCATCATTCATATACTGTGCTAGAGGTTGTGGTCCGCCTCCATGAGAATGTCCATGGAATGGTGCAACAACATCTGCGCTGGGTAAGAAACGGTAGAGGAAAATAATGAGAATGGCGCAAACTGCGATGTTCCTAATGCGAAATGGCC